GGGAAAGAAAAACGATAACATGGTGGATCGTGCGGGCCCATAATAAGCCAGCGCATGGATCCAAAACTACGGTGGACATGGAAAGTGTTCCGTTCTCAGAGTCGAGGTGGCATGTACGAACCGCCGCCAGTATGTAGTCTATTTCGACGCAGCTGTTCCTTATTTTCCCAGTCCGCTTGCTCCTTCGATGAACAGTACATAGTAGAGGTCCACTAAGCATTTGCATCCGGTATACGAAGTCTGCCAAAGGCCGTGTTCACAGACGGGGCGAGTGCCCCTGCATGCCGTTCATTCGTCAGTTGATAAACATGATATACATCCGGTTGGCATCTCACAGTCGGCCAGTTAGCGTGATGTACCTTTTGTATTCGGAACCCTGCCAGGTTGTTGCCTGGGGACATCGCGACAGTCGCGTGATGTTTATCGAGTTTGAACAAGCGGTGGCTCGGAGCAGTACGGTGCACTGACGTAAACATAGACGTAAAGCTTGTGGACTAAGGGCCTTGGAAACTACGCTAGGCCTATTTTCCGAGTATTCCTGGTATCCGAGGGCCAGTAAATTTTCCGTGGGCCAATGAAACTTCGGTCAATAAATAATCCCTGATGGCCAGTGGGTAAAAAATGTGTAATATCGAGGAGTAAATTGGTCTATTTCAATGATATTTTCAGCTTCTTTATGTGATGATTCAGTCTTGAGAATTACTAGTGATGATCACGAGATCATGTCGATTATACTCGATCATCGGGTTTGAACAGCTGGCTCGGAACAACCGCTTGTGATTATCAAAATCCTATAATCAATTTCATAAAAAGAAAATAATCAAATTATAGTAAAACTTGAACAAGAAAACTTGGAAAAGTTGCATGAGAATCAGAGATATCACGCTACTATACAAAGTTAATCTTTATTAAGCATACATGTATATACAAATAGTAAAAACAGTGCAAAAACAAACAGTAAACGAGCGGTCTTAAACAAGCACATACATGCACACTACGGTACATGCACACGACGTTACGCACACGGCAGGCCATTCAACACCTGAGTAAGCGATTGTAACCGAATCATCCGGGATTACTGTGGGGTTCCACGAGATCGATTACGAAATTACAACCCGATTGCTACTGCAAATGAGCCTAGTTCGTTTGTCGGCTCTGTTATGTAAAAAAGTTTATGACTTGAGACTTGTGTCTTCGCCGTATATACATTTGTAGTGTTCTGGCAAAGCTGCCGCCACATCTAGTCAATTCCTGAGTTTCCCTGCATGCTACCGTAATGCCTAATAAAACTAATAGTAATCAATTTTGTGAGTCTGGTGCACTATACACAAGGGGCCAGGTTTCACGAAGCGGTAATTAAGTCTTTAATCATAATTCGGGAAGTTGTAATCATGACTAGTGATTTAATCATAATTAAAGTTTAATCCACATTTTGGCTGAAACACAACCCCAGTACTTATCACTTGTGAGGTATTAGTATGTGTGTCGCCTGTACAGATGGCTTATTAGCAAGTTTCTTTAATGCTGTGTCATAAAAACTATGCAGAATATGTCGTACAGCAAAGAGCAAAAAGGTGATAGTAACTTAATATAATATTAATAATGCACCATTTCACAGATATTCGAACAGTCAGCCCACTAGTCAATCTCTGTAATTGATCTGTAACAAACTACTTCTTCCCACAAAATATATGTTACAGCGCTGGGTTTAGCTATAGGTCACACAAACATTAATAAAATAAACTCACACCAATCAGGCGCAGTGCTGACACTCGGGCCAGCCGAAGGCTGGCCCAAAAATCTTCTTTTTTTGGGCCACCAGAAATTTATTTCTACTGCGCCCAAAATGAAAGAGTCCAGGTAGCCCATCCATTGCATCTTTTCGTCGCGTTAAAATATAAAATCAATAACCATAACGACACATATTAATATGATACAGTATGCAGTATTTTGATATGTGTCCGGCGTCTGCCAGCAATTGTATCAGCTATTTTGTATGCCCCTAGTCTCGTGATATGGGCCCTAGGCTGGCTTACGCTTTTTACCCGAATCACATAGTAAAATCTTGAAACCTAATAAGCTTTTTTGTCTCTTCGGCTCCTGATGACGACCGGCTCTTTTAAAATGAATAATCTTCCACGCTTCGTTCCATGATTTTCTTCTTTCTTTCGGCTTCAAGCCTCGTTGCTAACGGTAATTTAACCGTTGAGTATAATGCCGCGATGTCGGGCTTGCGTACTACCAGCATTTCGACTTGGTTGAGCATGTCGGAGCTAGCTCGATTTATCCAATCAGATAGTCCATGCAGGGATGGGAATGAGCAATTTGTGTTTTCAGCCTCTGCCGCGCGCACTTCTCTTCTATGCGCGGCCAGTGCTCCATATTTGGCCATCTTCCATATGATTTAAGTTACACTTGCATCACTTCCAATGGCAATGGATTGTCATATTTAGACAATATGGCGGCGGTACAGTGTCTTTGACCGTGTCAATTTATCTACATGTAGGCACTGAATTTAATAGCGAAATCAACATTGCCGTGCATAAATATATAAACCATACACGGGTTAACTATATTTCAATATCGGTCAGAAATAACGTTGATTACTTACTTAAATTTAGGTCATTTTTGTGGTTGTAATGTCGTTTATTGTGACAAATCTCCGGCCATTATTTGCGATCGCGCATCTCATTCTGCGCAGACCCTCTCTGGAGAGATAACGATTAATCACATAAAGTAATTTATTGCTGATAATTATAGTGCAATCTAAACAAAAATTTACTCTTGAATTTTAAATTCCACAATTAAAGCATTTATAATTTTTCTATAACGTTCTTAATCGATGAGCTTTATCTGAACAGCTCTGACTCGGACGTTAGGTGACAACATGGCGGCCCCCATGGATAAGAAGGAGTCTATCACTCCCAAACTTTTTTCTGCGCTTTTTTACGCAGTTGCGTCTGTACTCATAGTATTTGTTAACAAAATCGTATTAACATCCTATAAGTAAGTAGTTTGTGTTGTGTTTCAAATGTTTTAAAATACCAATAATGACAAACCGTCGGTCTAAAATCCAGTCTGTGAGTGACCGTGGTAGTCAGACACGTAGCTAGGGCCTGCATAGTATTAGTACATCCCAAAGTGACGCGTCGTCGACCGACCAATCGGAGCGCTAGTACCTATAGCAGCTCAGGCACTAAAGCTGATAAATATAAAGCTAAACCCTAACCCTTACCAGTATGGCAGTAACCATCCACTCACGATAGCCAGCTTAAATAATGCAACCACAAAACATCGCATCAGCTTTAGTGCCTGAGCTGCGCGCGCTCCGATTGGTCGGGCGACGACGCGTCACTTTGGGAGGAGCTGCGAGCGCTCCGATTGGTCGGTCGATGACGCGTTACTTTGGGAGGTATATGCAGGCCCTAGCTGCGAGTGGTAGTCAGTCACCGGACAGACAATAAAAACACTATACACTGGCACAGCTGTATAGAGATCACATGCGAAGAGCACACGGACACACTTACACTTACAGCAATGAGACTTGTAAATACACGCAATTATAGCCTCGAAATGACGTAGTACCTACAGTGATCAGCAGATGTCTTGTTCCCTCTCAACCCATTCATTTTATTTTACCTAATACCTTCTTTTCAGTTCTCTTCCTGGTTCACCATCTGTTCGATATCTCCCACCTGCATTTTTGTCCCCTTCCCCTTTGCTGGCCTCTCTTATAAATCACCACTCTCAGGGTTCTCCAAGAGCACTTATAGCCTGGCGGCCCGCCAGGCTATCGTCGAGCCCCGCCATCCTA